GGGTGACCAATATTATTGGATCCGAATATTATTGGATACCCAATAGTATTGTACAATATCTCCAATAACGATTGGTATTGGTACATGCCTAGCACCAATCTCACTTAGAGGAAATTTTGTTTGGATACAGCACAATGTAGATAGCAGCAGGCGAAATTTTGTAGATCTTAAGTTAACACGTACCAGAACGGTGACTTTTTTTATCGAAAAATATTATAATTTTTCAAAGTCCATAGCAGCTCACCGGATATTTTATAAAAGCTCTTTGTAGATTTATGAGAGAAAAAACGTCCAACGAGTCGGCTTTCTTTGAATTTTTGAAACATGGTTTTTAATAACACGTAGTAGTCAGTCTTATTATCTAGAATTAATCTACTTGCTTAAAACTTCGACTTATGTAGACATAATTTTTACGTGCAGTATCATTTGAAAGCTTGTGGAATGTTTCACTATCTACGACACGCCAAGAGAGAAAATCAACAAAGGACTGTAGCTAATATAATATTTTTCAGTGTTACAGAAGAACGTGAAAAGATGTCGTGAAAAGATGGACGGAGTGCAATAAGAACGAGGATCGGCCCCATTTCAGATCGTCTCGAAAGGTATCTAGAATGAAAGAGCATACAATTTTATGGGGTTCTACACCCTCGGTTCCACTTCGGACCTCATATGTGTCAGAAAATCGATCAGCTTTGAACAATAGCTCCGCGAGCCCATTCCAAGGCGTTTTTGTGTGACAAGGCAAGATCACACAGTTGTGCAACGCCTTATTTTGATCAGAAAAGCCTGCTCTACAAGTCTACGTGTTCAGAAAAAATTTACTTGCGTAAATGTCCAGAAAAAAATTATTATTTGAAGACCCTGGTTTTCAAGGCTTGTAGAAAACTTGCTCAAAAACCAGTTCTAAGCCCGAAAGTGATACAGATTCTGAAAGTAGTAACACTCCGGGCTATCTTTCCATGTGCTTGTCTCCACATTGATTTTTGATACAAAAAGATTTCATTCTGAGGGGGGGGGCCCTTAAGAACATAATTTGATGAGTCAGTTAAAAAATAGAATCTTATTTATAGTCTCGGTGATGTCAGAAAAATGTCTGTTACTTTTAAACGGATCATTCCATGGAGTTCGAAGAATCTGTCTCGGTCGGGACAAGGCAGCTATTTTCTAGTTCGTAAGGACGGGGTGCAATAAGAACGAGGATCGGCCCCATTTCAGATCGTCTCGAAAGGTATCTAGAATGAAAGAGCATACAATTTTATGGGGTTCTACACCCTTGGTTCCACTTCGGACCTCATATGTGTCAGAAAATCGATCAGCTTTGACACAATAGCTCCGCGAGCCCATTTCAAGGCGTTTTTCGAAATTTTCTCAGAATACAACAAGTTTGAAGGAAAGTCTTATATACCATTCGATGCAGCTTTAAACGCCGAACAAAACTATCTATTGCTCAATTGTTATGTACACTGGTTACACCCACGTTTTGGGAATATTACTGTTAAAAATGACCTTTTCAGCATAGTCCACGATAGTATTTCCACTTTTTCACCATGGAAGAACCCAGGTTGCGGTCCACATTATATATCGAAAGAAAGCTCTTTCAAAACTCTACAAAATAGTGGATAACTCATTTCTAGTTGGAAGTGCGAACACTCACTTTTTGGGATATTACTACTGAAGAGTAATGTTTTCAAGCATACTGACGGATAATGCTTCTGTGTTTTTACCATGAGAGAACTTAGGTTGCGGTCTACATTATATATCAAAAGAAAGCTCTTTCAAAACTCTACAAAATGGTGGGTAACTCATCTCTAGTTGGAAGTGCGAACACTCACTTTTTGGGATATTACTACTGAAGAGTGATGTTTTCAAGCATACTGAAGGATAATGTTTCTGTGTTTTTACCATGAAAGAACTTAGGTTGCGGTCTACATTATATATCGAAAGAAAGCTCTTTCAAAACTCTACAAAATGGCTAGTAACTCATTTCTAGTTGAAAGTGCGAACACTCATTTTTTCGGATATTACTACTGCAAAGTGATGTTTTCGGCATCGACAGATAGGCTCGATCCGTCTAAAACCTACCACCATTTAGATTGACCTTTGACGCTAGTGATCAGACCTATCTCACATTATAGAGCTCAGCAAGCTGAACTGAATGGTGAAAACCGCAAGTCTCTAGCCTTGTTAGAAGAAAAGTTATACCCATTTTACTCTCGCAGCGGAAAAATGCATTTTCCGGCGGATTTGGCCTAACTTGTTGAACGTCTGCTGACCACATTCCCTAACGTAGAACCTTGAAGTTGGTATCAAACGAAAGAGCGCGTCGAGTTCTATATATTTCGATGAAGAAACGTTATGCCAGACCTCGGGATCTTGATATAAGAATTTCTGAAAAACTCGGTTTTCTAGAAAACCCAGTAACCTTAAAACCTTTTTCAGAAGTTTTTCAACCATATCATTGGATAGACCCTTGAATTCTGTACATAGGGAGATGTTGGACACGTTTCTACGATGTTGTGTCAAAGTGCCATAGAAAATTCGATACAGATCGAAAATTCTGCGTTAAGTGAATGAGTTTATATTGGTAATGTTAAACAGCCTGTAACTCGGTCGTCCAAAATCCTAGAAATGTGCCCAGCATCTCATTTAGTGGAGAATTGAAGGGTCTATCCAATGAAATGGTTGAAAAACTTCTGGAAAAGCTTTTAAGGTCACTGGGTTTTCTTGAAAGCGGAGTTTTCAGAAATTGCTGTCTCAAGACCCCGAGGCCGGGCATAACGTTTCTTCATCGAAATACACTGACCGACTGTTGGATATGCTTTATTCCCTTGACTGAAAGTCTTGGGTCATACAAACGAAATGTCCGTCCGTCCGTCCGTCCGACCGGCCGACCGTCCGCAGTAGAGTAGTGACACCTGACACCACTTAGACGTAAACTAGCGACATATTCATATTCGAGGAGGAAAAACACGTAATTACTACTTTTCTCAGCAGCGAGACATCCTGCGTGTGCGAGCCCGGAATAAAAATGTCAGAAACTAAATTTCACATATTTTATCTGCTGGCACCAGTTTCGCTAATTAGCGAGCAAAAAGCTAATTTTTGATAATTAGCATTAGATTCTCTTGTTCAAGATTATCATTTGATAAGCAAGTATTTGATAAGCAGATCAAATAATTCAAGTACTTGATTTACTTGCAAAAAAAGCCAAGAACGTTGGACAAAACTGGCGCGGATACTTCGACAAGTACAATATTTTGCAAAAACAATTCACCACTTTTCAAAACAATATTTATCTAAATCAGAGCAAGTTTACAGTATGTCTTTATTAATTGTTAGCAGGACGTTCATTGAAGGAAAACAAAACTTTATTATCCATTCTTCAAAAAAACCTTTTATTTAACGGATAGTACCCGTTCTCGAAAACACTGCAAACATTAAAAACCACGCCAATACACTGGAAAAAAGCAAAATCTTGAAATTAACTGCGACGCGCCAACATCACAGAAATAAAAGCAACGGAACCAGTTAGTATCACACCTGCCGTGACGGTAGGAGCGATAGCATCACGTATCATGATATTCACCTGCTCGCTTTCCCACTGAAGAGTCCGACAATAAGTAGCAAACGATTCGCAATTGTGACTCACTAAGTCGTACGTGATTGGATTCTCTTGTTCAAGATTATCAATTGCTCTCGTCACAGTGGCTTGCCTTGCAGTTTCATTGTCGTATTCATAATGGATCAAATACAGCGGTCTCAGATTCACACCTCTAACATCACCCTCAACACCTGCAAGAAAGCCTAATTGACGGCGTCTAAAAGTTTTACTACTAGAATCATCGTTACCTGCGAGAAACTGTTCCAGATTGCATTCACGAATACTGGCATGCCGTTTATCGGGACCGAAGAAATGAATTATGGTAATGTTTTCATTCATATTAGTTACAATACCGTGATGATAAGGACCTCGACCAGTTCCGGTAGCGATATGGGCACCGTTGTACAGCTGAGTTCTCGCATTCAGAAGTCTAACTTCCTCAGCGTTTCTCGATCGTAGGCTGGTATCTGTCGCCTCGACGAAAAGTGTTGCTACTGCTCCTAACGATGCCATCTTTAGAAACGGTAGAAGAGGCCGTCGATGTCGAATCAGACTAAATGATTATATTAATTTTCGTTTATAAATTTTTGATAACGCGTTTTTGAGATACAGAAAGTCGAATCTGTTGTTCTTCGCCATCTCACTATCACTAGTTGGAAAAATGCCACTCATCGAAAACAAATTTTATCACAGTAAACTGGAACGGAAAAAACCTAGAAAAAAAGGTGTATCTATATTATTAAAATGCCAACTTACAAAATCGCAATGCAAAAGAATATTTTTATCCATAGTAACAGAAACAGAAATAGAGAAAAACACTCTCTTCACGACGTATGAGAAAATTTAAATATTAAAAACTCTGATTCATTGTGACTGCGTAAGTTGAAATTTTAATATGAACCAAACTCAGCGATAGCCTAAGCCTGATTCACCAACACGTTTGATTTCTCTTAAAATAATCTGACACTTTCGGTTGACTTTCATTTGATCAGTAGCGCCGGCGTCGCGCTTCGGGGCTTACGGAGCCAAAATAAATACATACATACATTTTAATACTTTTAATTATTGAGATTTTGTCAAATAAAATATATTTACTAGAGAATGCATGTTTTATTTCCGTATGAGGAAGAAAAAAATTTTGTCTTGAAAATGTTTACTTTTCTTCGCTTTTGAAAGAACCTTCTCTTCTTTTGTTTGAACTTCTTTTTTCCTTCTTTAGGAAAAATTTTGTCCAAATTTTGAAAAGTTTCTTTTTACGTTTTTTTTCTGGAAAAAAATGATGTACGGTCTTTTGTTTTCTGTTTTAAAGTGAATGTGATGTGATATATTAGATGCGAGAGGGCTATTAGTAGAATCCCGAAAGAAAACACTTTAGAAGCTGAAACTTCAGAATATTTCAATAACTTTTTATAATACATATTGTAAACTTGTTATCTTCCTAAACTCTAAAGAAGTCGAAGTGGCTCTTAGGGACCTGATGCAGCTTTAAGATCCAAAAATGATGATTCATCGCTGTACACGCGACACATGTGACCGGGTCATCTGTAGCCTGGATACCAACTTGTGATGTCCTGTCCAATATAAATATGTATTTGCTTGAAAATGAATATAAATATCTAAGTGAAAATATTTCAATTTTCCCGGACCTGGAGGAAGTTGCACTGTTCTCATTGCTAGTCTTGGAGCTGTAAACCAGAATAAGAAAAGAAACATGAAAGAAAGATATAGATCCAAGAATTAATAATTATATCTTTTAACAGAGAACGCCTCAGACCCATGACGTATGTCTCAGAACGAGTTCCTGTTACAATTACTTGTTAGTCACAGAAAAGAAAATGTAAGGGGGGTTTGTAAAAGTTTTGTATTTTTGATTTTCTTTACTATCAGTGGTTTGAAACATCGCAGAAACCCAATTTTTTTCTTATTCGAGATGGCAAACTCAACTACAACGTTAGACAAAATCCATTGCAACAATAGTCAGATAGAATAAGTCACAAAAAATTCATTCAGCTGTAAGAAACGACTATTTTTCTGATGGAAAATTTCGCTGAAGAAAAGTTTAATAAAGAGGATAAATAAACACATGGGAATTTGTGTCAAATGTAGCTGTATTGAACAAGAACGATATATGTTTCAGAACGTAACGTTTCATGTTCTAATCAAAACAGGCATTACACACTATATAGTTCGTTTTGATTCTGTTTTAGTCCCGCTTATTTATGATGTTTCAAAGTTTACAACAACTACTGGTTCTGTGAGCAGACAAAGTCCATGGTACAGATTGTATTTTTTATTTTTTCATAATCTGTACATATTAAAATTTCAACTTACGCAGTCACAATGAATCAGAGTTTTTAATATTTAAATTTTCTCATACGTCGTGGTTCTCGCGACGAAAAATCCTGCGTTTCGTCTGATAAAAATGCGTGTTTTTCTCCCCTAAAAATCTCGCGAGGCAAAAACGCGCATTTTTATCAAACGAAACGCAAGATTTTTTCTGAGGAGATCTATCGAGATGAAAATCCTGTGAGATCTCGCGAGATTTTATGAAAAAATTTTAAAAGGGTGTTCGCGATCTTCTCGTAGGACCTCGCGTATATTTTTCTCACATCTTACATGATTTATAGTTACAATTTTCTCGGGAGAACTCACGTGGTTGTTTTTTATCATTATCTCGCGTGGTAAAGTTTTTCTTGATTTATAAGACGAACACTGTGCAGTTGGACTAACTTGCGCTTGTGAATTTTGGTTAAAAGTGCTATTTATATTGTTTATACTTGATATTGCGCAATCATGATATCTCGCGAGATCCCACGTGTTTTTGGTCACTCTTTTCTTTTAAGTTAACCTAACGAGTGGACGTGTGGCGCTACAATCGACGTGAAACTGTTGAGTGATAGTATGAGTCACTGACAGACGGGATGTGTGACGTCACAATCAATTATTTATGAATCGAATTGAACCTTATGACAGTCGCAAAATAACCTTTTGTTATCTTCGGAGAGTGCTAAATCCCATGAACAAAAACAAATGCTATCGAGTCAGCTAATTCTATAAAGCTCTCAAGGGCAGCCCCCCTCAGGAATTCGATTTTTCCTCGAAATCTTCGAAATTGAAGTAAGTATAAGCTTGAGTATCCCAAACCGTCATCTTTCAGAATCCATCTCAATTTGCCAAAAATTCAATGATTTTGAAGGTTTTTGAAAAAGATTTCTGAAAGCCCTGAACCCCACAAGTAGTCCCAATCTTTTTCTGTTATTAGATGAAAAATTTCGGTAGGCAATGTAATTGCTACTCAAAGCCTCAAATGCCGCTGAGAGTAGCAATTACAGTGCCCATCGAAATTTTTCATCTAGTAACAGAACAAGGTTGAGACTACTTGTGCCCCACATATTTCCAAAATTCGTCTTATGCCGTGGGAGAAAATCGATTTTGAAAAATGACATTTTCAGCTAAAGTCGCTACTTTCGATGCAGCTTTTATTTGAGCGAAAGCGAATTAGAAGCTCGCACGTTTAGGCGTTGTAGTATTTGAGATCCTCTATCTAATGAAGTTTTCATAATTTTATGAAAATATTTCGTTTCGATACAGTATGGCTCCAAAGTGGACAAAATATGAGTTTACGACGTACCGGATACAGGTCGCTGTATGAGAACGAGACCATTCCCAGAAGTCGGGATTGTTTTATATCACTTACCTGAGTTGAGATATTTCAACTCTAAAAAAGGTTAAATTTTTCAAATTTCAAATTAAATTTAAAAATGCAAATTTTGCGCTGGAGACTTTATTTTTTTTCAAAATATTCGCCATTCGACGCTGAATCTGAATATGTTATTGAAAACGTTCCATTGTTAGCCATTTTGTTTTTGAACTCATTTTATTCATCACATATAGGCCAAAAACCAGGGTTTTCTGGAAACCCTACTTTCGGACATTTACGAGAAAACTTTCCGCTTGACAAAAGAAAGAGCTCCAACTGCACGGTGTTCGTCTTATAAATCAAGAAAAACTTTACCACGCGAGATAATGATAAAAAACAACCACGTGAGTTCTCCCGAGAAAATTGTAACGATAAATCATGTAAGATATGAGA